CTTTGTTTTCATTTTTAATTGAGGGATTGCTTACTCCCTGACATGTTTTCTTACATGCTGTCTTCTGTGTTTTGGGTATCCTCTCATGGAGTATAGGAGATTTTTGTCTCTTGTTAGTGACTGCGTCCCTTTACTGATGAACAATGTGTGACACTCACTGTGCGTTTTATCAAAGAAGGAATGAAGGATGTTTAATGTGAGAAGAGACTATTTGTTTAGAGCAGGTGACCACGCAGCCTTGGCTCTGTTCTCCAGAATTTTCCTAGGGCCATGGATCAATCTCAGGGGCTTCCATTATGCATTACATTCCCCATCAACATCCTGACCCAAGTACCATCTTTTCTACATACTGTTGTAGCCATCCTTTCTTATCTATAATGTTCAATAGTAGCCTAACAATTTTCCTGCAGTTTTATGAATCTATAATCTATTAGCTGCATCACAGCAACAGTGACCGCCCTAACCCACAGATACATGCTTTCGTCACTTTATGCTTAAGACACTCCAATGACCCTAACTACTGTCATATCAAGCCCATGCTTCTCTCCCCGTCTCCCCCTCATCTTCTGGTTTGAGCCTCTCTCCATTCTTCCTTCTCTTGATGTTCAGGCTTGCAAGACTTGGCCTCATCTCATTTTTTTACAACTGTCCTTATTTTGTGATCCAGGTAGACTTGGGCTTTGGACACCTTGTCTCTGAAGTGCTTACCTACAAACCTCCTCAAGTAGACAGAAGTCCAGTAGGCACTTGGGTTTATGAAAAGTCAGAGGCAGATCAGCACTAGAATCAAGGATTGCTGTTTTCCCTGTAGAGACTTTCCCTTCACACCTATATTAAAGTGTGTGTGTGTGTGTGTGTGTGTGTGTGTGTGTGTGTGTGTGTGTAGCATAAGGTCTACTAATGTTGTAAGGTATTTCCAACAAAGTACAACAAAGACTGTATTATCAGCTGTCAATTTCATGGACAACTTGCCCAAATCATACAGCTCCAAGCTTATTGTTTTGTTTGTCTTTTATGCACCAAAAAAACCTCACATCATGGCTGATATGCTCAGTTAGCAAGAGCAGTTAGGGAGAAGCAAAACTACAGAATCCGAAAGGCAAGGATAGTATATTTAGGGACTTTCCTAGATCCTGGAACTATGGCCTAGGTTTTTGATTAATCTAATTTTTGTTCTCATTTTGGCAGGTGTTGGGGCCTACATGTTGGGTTCTAAGGTCAGAATGGCAAATCTAACATGGTACCAGTTGTGCTAAGGTCCAGGGTACTGTTACACTGATCAATGTCCCTACATATATTTCCATTGCTATGCACCCACCACCTCCTCCCATCTCCAGAACTCTTTCTATCTTCCCAGTAGAAACTGTGCCCATTAAATACAACCTCTCCATTCCCCTGGTAACCCCCAGTTCTATTTTCTATCTTCATGAACCTGGCTATTCTAGATCCCGATAGTTCTGTTTTTTAAAGAGATTTGAGTGTTACCATGTTGCCCACATTGTCTCACACTCCTAGGCTCAAGCAACAATTCTCCCCATCATCACCTCTCTCCCGCATATAACCTTGACTATAGAATGTACCTTCACCCCAGAATATGCCTGATTTACTGAGTTACCGTCATATAGCTTCCACGTCAGCTGTACCATTTTACACCCTCTCTCTTGTATTATGGTGTGGATTAGAATGTGTAGACAAAGGAAACTGTCATCCCCAAGCCAGTGCTGGCTTGCTGTATAATCTTGGCTAAACCACTCAGATTAAACTCCTCCCGTCATGAAGAGATCAATGACCGTTCTTTGCTGACTTCATAGAACTGTTGTAATGTGAGACGCATACAAAAGGAGACATGGAAAATGCTTTATAAATTAGAATTCGATGTATAGTATTAATAATTTGTACTAAATTTGAGCCAAGACCAACTCTGAAGAAGAAAACAGTAGGGTATGAGGAAGGAAAGCACTTTTTAAAGATACTCGCTTAATAAAGGACATAGCTTCTCTTTCTCTCTAAAGCTTAGGCCTTTGGCCCCTAAACAAAGAACATCATTGCTAAGTGGAAGCACCGAGTTCCAGGCAGCTTGGGAAAGATCAAGGAGCGTGACTGCTCGTCCTGTGTTTCAGTCCCTCTCAGGCTGATGCTTACACTTCATTGTGGTAGAAGCATTGGAAATTGTGTTTATAATCCTCCACAATCACCTTCCAGAAAATAATGTGGCTTAACTCCTTTTTTTTGTTTGTTTGTTTGTTTTTCAAGACAGGGTTTCTCTGTATAACAGCTCTGTCTGTTCTGGGACTGCCTCTGTAGACCAGGCTGGCATCGAACTCACAGAGGTTCGCCTGCCTCTGTCTCCCAAGTGCTGAGATTAAAGGTGTGCGCCAGCACCGCCCGGCAGGCTTACTTCTTCTGATGGATAACAGTTGCTGAAATGTCCAACAAATTCCTTCCTCTGTAATTAAATCTAAAGATTCAAGAGTGGTCCCTCGCTAGGAAATTAAACTGAGCATGGGAGCACAGGTAGCAGAGGCTATGGAGGAGGATTGGGAGTTCTATCTTCAGGAAAGCAAAACAAAAAGAAAAGAAAGGATGCACGATAGTTCGAGGCCAACATGGTCTTCAAAGAGAGTTCCAGGACAGTCTCTAAACCAACAGAGAAACCCTGTCTTGAGAAAACAAAGCAAAACGAAGAAAAGCATAATGTCTTTAGGGAAGAGTGCAGAGCTTCTGTATTCAATCCTAAATTCTAAATACTACCAATACTGACTCTGTATTACTGTTGAGAATATAACAAAAAGCCATTGTTACCCTAAAGTGATCAAAGTCAGAACTGTGAGTCTCAGGAGGTTAGAACAATGATGATAAACTTCATAACTATTTACAGAATCAAGCTATTGCCACAATTATACAGATTTCTTTTTCTGGGCACAAGGGGCACTACCCTACAAAGACTTACTTTGGTTTTACTTTAGGCATTTAGATTCCTTCTGGCATCTCTTTCCTGCGTCTATCCTAAGTCGTGTGTGTGTGTGTGTGTGTATGTGTCTGTGTGTTTGTGTGTCTGTGTGTGTGTGTCTGTGTCTGTATGTCTGTGTCTGTGTGTGTTTATATGTGGGTGTGGGGGAGAAAGAGAGACGGATGGAGATGGAGAGAGAGAGAGAGAGAGAGAGAGAGAGAGAGAGAGAGAGAGAGAGAGAGAGAGAGAGGAGACACTGAAAAGCAGCGATGTACTGAACCAATTCTCATCTCAGAACTCAAGCAGAAACCCCCTGACAGACATCACTGCAGTTTAAGTGGAATTTCAGTGTCAAAACCTTTGCTATTTAAAAAAAAAAACTTTACTAAACATAAACATGTTAGTTTAGCACAAATAGATTGGGCCACTCCTTTAATCCCAGCACTCGGGAGGCAGAGGCAGGTGGATCTCTGCGACTTTGAAGCCAGCCTGGTCTACAGAGCAATTTCCAGGACAGGCTCCAAAGCTACACAGAGAAACCCTGTCTTGAAAATAAATAAAAAAGAAATATATTGGACCAAATGACATTAAAGAGAACGTTTTGCGGTAATAAGGTAGTTTGGGGATGCATTTTTTTTACTTGAGCATTCTATTTTAGCCTTTAACCTGACTAAAAAGCTACAGCATCAACATAAACACCATTACTCACCAAGCACTGTAATGCATCAGTGTGTTATGGATCATTATTCTTTCCATTCCATGCTGGGGAGGAAGGAGCATGGGAAGAAAGCAAAAAGTAGCCCCTACCCATCCTTTTCAAAAGCAAACATTGAAGTCACTTTCCCATTCCTTCTAAGGGGACCTGTCTGGCTATGTGATCCCTTCCTCTTGGGCATCTTTCACAACACACTTGCATCGTCCCCCCAGTCACACTAAGTCAGGAGCTTCCCAGTATGTCCCATTTCGGGCCCTTCCCCCTTGGAGACAGCGAAGAACAGAGAGAACAATGTAAACCTGTGCCCTGGGGTTTGACAACATTTCCCAATGATAGTCGTGGCTCTCCTCAGAGCCCTGGGTAATGAGTGGTGTGGCCAATGCATGCATGACCAAGAGTGACAGCTGCCATGGATTGTCAGCTCAGCTTGCACCGAGCTCTTTGTCAGCTTCTAGCTCTCATTCAACTATTAGGAAAATGGAGGTTCCTTTGCTGTGGAGATCATATCCGTCTCCAAAGACAACAGAGGATCCTTCCCCCACACTCCCCGCTAAAAGATAAAACATGAGTCCATTCAGCCTCGTTCTAAGAACCAAAGCCCAGCTTGTGCCCATCCAGCTACCCTCCAAACACCATCTGCCTGCAGCCTTTCCTTTTAGGGGCCTGGAGGTTTTTGGCTCAGGAACAAGACACGTTTATTTCCGATGGATCAACACTGTCACCCAGTGGACAGATAGTTAGGGGCTGAGGCCTAACTAAGCCTTCTCTCAGTTTCGCAGCGAGGATTTAAATGGGAACCTGGTTGTTTCAGAGGATCGGGGTGAGTGTTCATTTCCTCTGCCAGGAACCATGCCAACTTCAGCTGGGAAGCTTTGGATCAAGATAACACAGGCAAATCTTAACCAAGACATGTGTGTCCATTGTGCAGATTCCTTCTGTTTTTCTCCCATCGGTAAAGTCACAGGAAACCCAGGATGTACATCAATCAGTCTCCTCTGCCAAGACTCCCAGAATCCAATAGGCAGACAGGAGCTGGGTGATCACCGGCCACAGCCAGGTGTACGGGGAGACACCCCTACAACACAGAGTGACTCACTGTTTACTGTGACAGCAAACTGCACTTTGGAAACTGAAAATACACTTTAGGATTAAATCTGAGAAAAAATAACTCACTTTCCTACAGTTTAATCAACAGTGGAGCCTTCTCTATTTGACATCTGCCTTTGATGATGGCAGGATAAAAGTTCTGTCCTGTCTCATTTGTACCGAGTCCCTTTCTCCTGTCTAACTGTCCCTCGGCACTCAAAATTTCCACAGAAAGCTGAGGCTCTGCACCTTCTTGCTAAGTGTAGGTTTCAAGTCACCGCTTCTCCAGGCTGGCACTCATCCACACACAGCACATGTATTTTCTGTCGCTTTGTGCTTCTTTTGAGTGTCCAGTAGCAGGGCTGGGATGTTCCTCCATGGGACCTCTTGTAGAGTCATTCATCAAAAGTGCTCTCTGTGTACGGGAGAGGATGGGGATTTGAATTCTGATTCTGCTACTGGTTAGTTCCTGGATCTTGGATGAATTGCTCAATCCGAGTCTCCATTTCTATCTCTTTCCATCAGGAACAACATCAGGATTGTACATATCCTCTGAGTTGCTATAAGGCATTTTCTTCCTCCCTCCCTCCCCCCCCACCTTCCTCCGTTCCTTCCTTTATCAGGGGATGACATATCACAAATTGACCTTTAACTTGTGGTAATCCTGAGAGCTTGAATTAAAGACCCAGACCATGCCCCATTTACTTTGAATATTTATATAATAAAGCACAGGGAAATTACTTAGCATGGTGTCTGGAGATTGAGTAAAACTCATGAATATTGATAGCCACGATGGTTCATCTTTTTTTGTAAAGCCAACTGGATTTAGAATTCTCTATGAGCCAATGGGCATTTCTGTGAGGGCATTTCTGAAGAGGGTTAACTAAAGAGGCAAGACCCACCTTGAATGTGGGTGGCACCGTCCTATGAATAAAAAGGAAAAACAGAGAAAGGAGCCAAGTAGCAGCATTTATCTCTCTCTCTCTGCTCCCTAACCGGCCAGCTGCCTCAAGATCTCCCTGCCTTGCCCTCCTCACCGTGACAGACTGCATCTCCAGACTGTGTATGAGCCACAACAAACCTTCCCTAAGTTACTTTAGTCACAACACTGAGAAAAATAACTACTACAATAGTAGTCCTCCTCCCTCCTCCCTCCTCCTTCTCCCTCCTCTCTCCTCCTCCCTCCTCCCTCCTCCTTCACTTCCTCCTCCTCCTCCTTCATCTTTGAGAGAGGGTCTCATGTAGAAGAGGCTAGCCTAAAACTCAGTGAGATCTGCCAGTTTCTGTCTCCCAAGTGCTAGGATTAAAGGTGTGTACCACCATGCCTGGCTTTTTAGTACTTCTAGAACATAACTGTTGGGGAAGTCCTGTGCATTTGTCAATAAAGCACTGTCTGGCCTATAGGGAATCTAGATAGGAGGGACTAGGAGTCCAGGAGGACTCTGGGAAGGAGAAACACGAGGAGTCAACATGTAACGCCATGGGGTAGGAGCCCGGAACTATTCTCCGGTAAGAGACATACTTAGATTAACAATTATGGGGTAATTACTTAAAGCAGAGCTAGCCAGTAAGAGACAAGCAAGGCCAACAGCTTCATAATTAATATAGCCTCCTGTGTGTTTATTTGGGACTGATGCGGCTCTAGAACCAGGCTGGCAGGAACGGCTCCTCACAAAGAAAAAGCTTCTCTTTACACATAACTTTTTCTTTCTGTTTTTTCTTTTATAAAGTTATATTTCACTAGTTTGCATCTATTGACAAGAGATGAACTTGTGGGTTTGTCTGTTTGTCTGTTTTTTTGCCGAAATCTAGAAGGGTGAAAGATTCATCATCCAGGCTGTTGCTTCTCATTAAAATCATTTAGAGGATTTTGGTTTGTTTGTTTTTTTAAATGAAGAGGCTCCTTTTCATTTTCTCTGTGTAGCCCTAGCTATCCTGGAATTTGCTCTGTAGACTAGGTTATCTCGAACTCACCAAGATCCAATTGTCTCTGCCTTCATGGTGCTAGGATAAAAGGTGTAAACTATGCTGGGCGTTGGTGGCGCACGCCTTTAATCCCAGCACTCGGGAGGCAGAGGCAGGCAGATCTCTGTGAGTTCGAGGCAAGGCTGGACCGACAGCCTCCAAAACAATACAGAGAAACCCTGTCTCGTAAAACCAAAAAAAAAAAGGTGTAAGCCACCATGCCTTGTTTAGATGACTTCTAGAGAAGGCAAACCGAACCCACAGTGATAGAAAGCCCGACAGCAAGATTAGCATTTATTAGCTGGCCCAGGAGCTGAAACAAACTTAATTGTTGTCCTGAATGTTTCTAGTAATCTTATGAATTCATTACTCTTTTTTAAAAACACATTTATTTCATTTTCTTTCATTAAGCATGACAAATAGTATATATCATTCCCTTAGATAAAGCTATGAAAATGTGTTGTTGTTTTTTTCATCGATATTTCGAGACAGGGTTTCTCTGTGTAGCTTTGGAGCCTGTCCTGGAACTAGCTCTTGTAGATCTTGAACTCACAGAGATCCACCTGCCTCTGCCTCCCTCCCGAGTGCTGATATTAAAGGCGTGTGCCACCAATGCCTGGCTCAAGTCTGCTTTCAAAGTTCATCTTTACCTCACAAGGCTGTCTCACTCATGCAGTTATTCTACTCGATTTTATACATCCTTATATGAATGTTTATATCCTTATTTCCTTGGCTAGCTTATTACATAAACTTTTAAAGAAGGATTTATTTATCATATATATATATATATATATACATATACATACATACATAGTGTTCTGCCTACTCACCAGAAGAGGGTACCAGATCTCACTACAGATGGTTGTGACCCACCATGTAGGTGCTGGGAATTGAACTCAGGACCTCTGGAAGAGTAGCCAGTGCTCTTAGCTTCTGAGTCATCTCTCCAGGGTCCTTACACAAGAAGCATCTTAAAGGCCAGAATTGACTTTAGTCACTTCAGTCATCTCCATGTCAATTCATAAGGGGGATGATTTGGCACCTCAGTTTTAAGAGGATCTAATTTCTAACTTCTGAGTAGCACTCAAGAAGACCTATGCTTAGCGTTATTACAAGGACTCGAGCGAAACTATTTCTGCTTTCTCTTTAGCCTTCTGTTCATCCTGAATGATCTTTGAGTTGGTCAATCAATATAGTCAACAGGTGTCTCAGAGTCATAGGTCTCACACACATACCAAAAAAATTCCCGGGGTGAGGTTGTGTCTTCGAACTAGGAGTGGGCAATCAGCTTCCGTAAACTTAGATGCAGATGTGACATCGTATTTGAGCAACCGAAAGGAATCCAATTGACTCTACAGGAACAGGAGAAGAGAGGTTGAGTTGGGGTTTTAGTGTTGTTTGTCCTGTTTGGCTTTTTTGCTTTGTAGGTTTTTTGTTTTGTTTTGCTTGTTCTTGAGACAGGCTCTTATTATGTCACCCCTACTAGCCTCAAACTCATTGTGTAGACAAGGTGGCCTTGAACTCACATAGATCTACCTGCCCCCTGAGTTCTGGGATTAAAGACCTATACTCTTCCATCATACTAAAGCATAACCAAAAGAGCTTTTGCCCCATTCAACAACATTCATGTCCTCAAACCCAAAATTCTAGACTCTGCCTGCCCTACTCCAGTAGAACTACATGGACACTGGCTGTGGATTGAAGGCATGCACCGCCATGCCTGGTGGTCTGTATGTTTTTACCTGTTTGTTATCATGCAGTCATGAGCTTCACCCTGCTTGTGCAAGCAAAGGGAAAGGAGAAGCCCAGGCAGCTGCCAACCATTCTCCTACCGGGAAAAAGAAACAAAGTCCTCATGGGAAGTAAAGCTTTCTAGTTTCTCTTTCAGAGGGAAGATTTTTTTCCTACTGGGTTTCAGACAAGACTACTGGACCTGTAGCAAATAATGACACCCCAGAAACTGTTCAGAGAATGCAGAGGGCAGCGCCCCGAAGACAACTTGCCAGAAGTGAGAGCTTTGACAGGGTCCAGGACTTTGGATTTTGCAAGTTCACCCTGCTGAAGAGCAGGCAGTGTGTGCTGGGAGTCATCCCCTAAGAATAGTTCTGGGGTTAGCGTGGGGAGCCAAGCAGTAGAAACTTGAACTACATCCAAAGGGAAGGCCTTAGGAAGCAGTTCTCAACCTGAAGGTCACATATCTGATATCCTTCATATCGGATATGTGCATTACACTTCGTAACAGTAGCAAATTTACAGTTATGAAGTAGCAATGAGCTAATTTTGTGGTGGTGGTGGGGTCAATGCAACACAGGGAACTGTATTAAAGGGTTGCAGCTTTAGGAAGGTTGAGAACCACTGCCTTAGAGGATAAGGAGAACAGCATGGGTATGTCTGCGCATTTAAAGAACACCCTGTAATAAGTAGGAAATATCAGAGGGACCAAGACCAGAAGCAATAAAACAAGTCATAGATGACAAAGGCCTCAAATGAGCAGAAGCAGTAGAATGGAAAAGAAGGGACATTTGGTGGAGGAGAAAGTTATATTGATAAAGCCAGTAAGAATTAGTGAGGTTTTGCACACAGCTACTGGGATCAACTGGTAGAAATTGCTTGGAGTAGAAAAGAGATCATCATCCAGTCTGAGCTCAGTTGAGAAGGATGGATTAATGATGTCTGTCACAGACAGAAAGGGAGGATATTGGCAGATGGATATATGGATTAGTGATGTCTGCCACAGACACAGAATGGGAGGATATTGGCAGATGGATATACGGATTAATGATGTCTGCCACAGACACAGAATGGGAGGATATTGGCAGATGGATATACGGATTAGTGATGTCTGTCACAGACACAGAATGGGAGGATATTGGCAGATGGATATACGGATTAGTGATGTCTGAAACAGACACAGAATGGGAGGATATTGGCAGATAGATAGATGGATTAGTGATGTCTGCCACAGACACAGAATGGGAGGATATTGGCAGATGGAGAGTTTTTACTGTTCCTATCCTCTGGCAGAAGGAGTGGTTTTTAAAAGATAAAACTAATTTATGCATACAAAAAATAAGAATATGATTACCTGCGCTTGACTAGTTTAACAGATTATTTACTGGGAAGAGAAGGCAAAGAGAAGCATTTTTTCAGACCTGGAAATATTCTATATCTTCATCTGAGTGGTAATGTACAGGCATTGTACATACTCCAAAATCCATAATACTATATACCCGTTTTAACCCATTTTGTACTGCCATAACAAAATACATGACACTAGGTTAAGTGTGTCTATTTTTTAAGTTGTTTATTGGGCTCTTGATTCTAGAAGCTCTCTGAGGAAGGTTTTCTCCCTGGCTGCTTTACATGATGGATAAATATAGGGGAAAATGTCTGTCTGCATGCAGAAGGAACCAAATGCATGGGGTAGTCTAATTTTATGACTTATTTCCACAAGTACTAATGTGGTTGCATGAGCCCTAGGAAACTCCAGAAGAAAAGTACTCATCTTTTCTAGGGGCTGTGCCCCTAGGATGTAATCATCTCCCACTAGGCCCTTTCTCTTCAGGTTTCTGGTACTTTCGTTGGGAGAAAAAGCATATCCAAACCAGAGAAATGCCATGAAAACTTGTGATTTTATTCTACAGATGTATTAGAAATGCCAAGGCACAAAGGGGGGGAGCCAAAGGTCATTCTGAGACCCTTTGTGTGTCTAAGGGGGTGTGTTAAAATGAAACACACAAGCAAACATTCCCTACACTTTGTGTGTCTAAGGGAGTGTGTTAATATTCCCACACTTTGTCCATGTGACGCTCACCTGAATGCAAGGCATGTTTCTGAATTTGCTTATCTCCTGGTACAGGTCAGTCACTTCTTCAATAGTCTTGTCCTCTTCCTTAGCTGAGAACACACAGACTACAATGATCTGATCCATATGGGACAGCTGGTTGCTTATGAGGTTGTCATACTCTAGGTCTGTCACTTCGGGGATAACTTGGTTGCTACATCTGCACATGTCCCCTTTCTCCCCACACATGGTCTTCCTCAGAACTACAGGACAAGCCAGCTGGGAAGAAAGACACAAATCCTTCCTTTTCTCGAGAAGAGGAAGCCTGCAAACAGAATGGTTAGGGGTCAGGTTAAATTGCTGAAAGGGCACAACATGGACCCCAAGTCTCAGGTGGGGGTGTGTTGGCAAGGCATCAAGTCTAATTTTGGACAGCAATTGTCAGCATGTTGATGGGGGTTGTCCTCCTGTATATGTTTCTCTTATTGGTTAATGAATAAAACACTGTTCAGCCAATGCGACAGGAAGATAGTGGGACTAGGAGACAAGGAGCATCCTGGGAAAGGTAAGCAGAGATTAGCCACGGAGTCGCCATGCTGCTGAAAGAGTAACAACATGTCAGGGCATTACTGGGCAAGCCACAGCCTCCTGGAAATACACAGATTGATATAAATGAGTTAAAATTAAGACAGTACGGAGCTGGAGAGGTGGCTCAGAGGTTAAGAGCACTTGGCTGCTCTTCCAGAGGAGCCGAGTTCAATTCCTAGCACCCACACGGCAGCTCACAACTGTCTGTAACTTCAATTCCAGTGAATTTAGTACCTTCACACTGACATACATGTGGACAAAGTACCAATGTACATAAAAATAAATAAAATCTTTTAAAAATTAAGACAGAGCTAGCCAATAAGAAGCCCTAGTCATCGGCTAACATTTTATAATTAATATAGCGTCTGTGTGCTTATTTGGGGCTGAAGTGGCTGCAGGACTAGGCTGGCAGGAAAGAAAACCACCAGCAACAGCATGTTGAACAAACAAATGTAAGCTTTTTCATCTCTGTAGGTCAAATTTTAAACTTAGTGACCAGTAGGGTAACACTGTAGCGTTGGCTGCAGTTTAACATGTGCAGTAAGAATGCATTCAAGGCTGGTCTGCAAGACACTTGCTGTTATTCCTATAAGTTAGAAGCAGAGGGCAGACCCTTACATGAGAATAATGAGGTTTTAAAATGTCAATAATCTGACCCAAACTCCACAAATATAAATAATGGAGTTGGAACCTGAGCTTCCAAGTCTGTTTCTCACCCTAGTTTGGCCATCTCAGTCACTCCTGAGGATACCATTCCTATAGCATACTTGTGAGTTAGTTATTTTGTCTATTAATAAACTGTGGGGATTTGAATGAGAGTGACCCCAGAGGCTCACATATTTGAATTTGAATAATCACCAGGGAGTGGATCTATTTTAGAAGAATTAGATGAATTAGGAAGCATGGTCTTATTGGAGTAGATGTGACCTTTTAGGGGAAGATGTGTCAATGGGGGTGGGCTTTGAGGTTTCAAAAGTTCACTCCCCCTCCTGCTCTCTGGGGATAAGGGTGTAAAGCTCCCAGTCACTGCCCCAGCACCACGCCTGTCTGTTTCCTGCCATGATATCATGGGCTAACCTCAAACTGTGAGCAAGCCCCCAATTAAATACTTTCTTCTGTAAGCTACCTTGGTCATGGTGTCTCTATAGCAATAGAATACTAAGACAATATAAGGCATGTAACTTAATAGAATGGAAATCAGAAAGGTGAATTCCAGTCTGTCATCTATCACTTGAAATGTGACTTAAGTCTCTGACTGTTTTGTATCTTGGTATTCATATCTGTTTGTGAGAGAAAGTTCATGTTTTCACCACACTTCCAGGGAAGTAAAGTCTATCACTTGAAATGTGACTTAAGTCTCTGACTGTTTTGTATCTTGGTATTCATATCTGTTTGTGAGAGAAAGTTCATGTTTTCACCACACTTCCAGGGAAGTAAAGAAGCCTTATAAAAAACAACTTGGATTACTTGTTATGAGATACTAAAATCTGTTTAAAATTCAGTATTTCCATTTCTAACAATTATAATTCCTAGTAGTGAGAACAGCACACTTCATTATCATTAAAGTATTCACCATTGGCTTCAATTTCTTTGTTCTGAAACCAACTATTGTGGACCTAATATTTGTAGCTCCCTAAAACATGGTGGCACATACCTGTGAACCCTAGCACTCAGGTGGTAGAAGCAGGACAATGGACTTGAGGCCAGCCTGGGTTACATGAGGCCAGCCTGGGCTAATAAGACTATGCCTCGAAACAACAGCAATAAGTTTATTTGTTGAAGTCCCAACCCTCAATGCACCTGCACTAAAGACAGGTTCTTTTTGGGAAGTGACTTAAGGTTAAATGATACCATAAGGGGCAAACCCTACCTGACAAGGTTAATGTTCTTATACGAAGAACCATAGAGCTTTTCCTCAGTTGCTCTCTGCCTTTTAGGGCTGGGGGTGGGGGATTGAGACAGGAACTCTCAATATAGTCCTAAATATTCTGGAATTCACTATATAGATCAGGATAACTGCAAATTCATTGAGGTCTGCCTGCCTCTGCCTCCGAAGTGTTGGGACTAAAGTCTACCTTTTTTTTGAGACAGCATCTCTCATTGAATTTGGAGCTCATGAATTCTGCTAGGCTGGCTAGCCTGTGAGCTCCAGCTCCTGCCTAAACCCATGTGCCTGGTGTTGACATGGATGTTGGGAATCCAAACTTAAGTTCTCAAGCTTTTGAGGAAGCCACTTTGCTGAATGAGCCAACTTCCCAGACCCTCCAAGTTACTATTACCATACATAGTACTGAATATGAATCCTAGTGGCAACTAAAGAAAAGAAAAACAGGGATAGGGAGAGCTATCTGTCTCTCTGTCTCTGTCTCTTAAAGGTCTTAAAGGTGGTAGACACATCATTAATACTTGACATGTGCTTCTTATTTAATTCTTACACAACCTCATGAAGTAGGTACTATTATTGCTCAGGTACCAGGATCTTGAAGATTTCCTTGCTAGTACAGCTCTGCTATTAGCATACTGCCCTATTGCTTCTCTCTCAACTGTCAGCCTGTTCATCACATACAGGATTTAGCAGGAAATTGAGCCACAGCCAGAAAACCATAAGGAGCAGTGACCTCACTGAAGATGGGCTTTCTGTAGCATAGCTAATTTTAATTCATGGGTGAGTGAAGCCTTCATGCCCTTTCACTTCAAGATTTAAAGTTTAAGTGTGGATCTACAGCCTTGGCTACATTTATTTTTTAAACATAAATGAAGGCCCCACTAAGTATCATTGTTTTCAAGGTCTCACTGATACCTATGCTACCTGTTGGGGAAGTCCTGTGTATATGTCCATAAAGCACTGTTGGTCAATAGAGAACCAAGATATGTGGAACTAGGAGTCCAGGAGGACATTGGGAAGGAGAAACACAGAAGTCAAGATGTAACGCCATGGGGTAAGAAGCCCAGAAAGTTCTCCGGTAAGAGAAATACTTAGATTAACAATTATGGGATAAATACTTATGTTAGAGCTAGCCAGTAAGAAACAAGCAAGGCCAACAGCTTCATAATTAATATAGCCTCCTATGTGCCATTTGGGATTGATGCGGCTCTGGAACCACGCTGGCGGGAAGGCTTCCCTTTACACTACCAAGTCACAAAACCAAGTTGACCTTTAAATGTGCATCCTGTTTTTACTGCACTGGGTCTGCAGCTGGTGGCATGTTTGAAGGATGTGGGACCTGGCTAGCAGAGATGGGATGTTAGAAGCAGGGCATCGAGGGTTATAGGCTGGTCCTGCTTCTGATTCCATTTTTTGTGGGGGTGTTTTTGAGACAGGGTTTCTCTGTGGCTTTGGAGCCTGTCCTGGAACTAGCTCTTGTAGACCAGGCTGGTCTGGAACTCACAGAGATCCTCCTGCCTCTGCCTCCCGAGTGCTGGCATTAAAGATGTGTGCCACCAACGCCCGGCAATCCCATTTTCTTTGCTTCCTGGTGCACCAAGATGTGGAAAATCCCCCACCAAAGGCTGACCCACGCTCCTGCTGTGATGGAGTGGTAGCTCCTAAAACTGCATGTGAGAAGAAACGTTTTCTATTCTAAAACAACTATCAGTTTATTTTCACATCTGTGAGAAAAGCAGTTACAGTAGCCTGGAGGCGGCAATCTCTAACCCAGCCAGCACACGTATGTTACACCACTTAGAAGACCCTACTGAGCCAATATGACAGAGCTGAAAGGGTCACCTAATGCAACCATTCTGAGCCTGTGGGTCTCCATCCCTCTGGGGGTCATTATCGGATATTTACACTATACTTCATACAGTAGCAAAATTAGAGTTATGAAGTAGCAACAAACACAACACAGGGAACATTAGGAAGGATGAGAGCCTCTGATCTAATGTATCCTCAATCATGAGCCACATTTCAGATGGCTGCAATAAGGGAGGCTGGTTACCGGGAACACTGGCTGATGGATGAGGTCCTGTGGTAAGGTGAAGGCTTGAAGAACTCCCTCATCGTCAGGAAGGTATTTCTGTGTCGGAGATACTCCTTGTGCCAATGTGCTTCCTCTGCATTTCGACTCAGAGCAGGTATTGTAAACTTCACCTCTGGTTTTCTGATGACTTTTTTTGCAAACATGGGCAGTCTGCAAACATGTAGCGATTCCAGTCCTGGGATGGAAACAGAACATGTTCCACTAAACATCTTCAGTAAGACAAAGACACTTGTAGGCTGAGCTAGATAGATTATAGTGTGTGCAATAGCTGGAATATTTCTCCATCACATGCATATAAATTCTCCTCTCCACTGACACCCGCACCACCCCTACCATGGTTATGTTCTCTGAGGAAACATAACATGGGCATTATAAACAAGGAAGACACCTAGGTCATCAATCAAAGGGGTAAACCAAACTCAAAGGCTTCACTTCTAATAATTTAGAAATAAAGGGACCAGACCCTCACTCAGCCCCTGCTTTAGCAGCCATGACAGGCTACAGAAGAGACACGTAGGCCTCTGACACAAGGAAACTCCAGATCCTCTGGCCTCCCAGAGCCTAGGGCCAAAACTGAACACAAAGAAACTCCAGACTGCTGCCCCCTAGCCCCAGCTTTCCTGGGAACTGTTTGGTCACAAAAGAAACTCCAGGAGAGACCAAAACCTCCCCTGCAGTCTCAGGATATAGTTCTGAAAACTATTGGTATCTATGAAAAACAGGCCACCTGTAAGTAACAAGACAATGCCATAGAAACCCCAGAATGTTCCCTCTCACCACTGACCAATGAAAATAATTAGTACACAGGTATTTCATGCAAAAATATGACTTTGAAAAATTCTTCTAATTGTTTCCAAATGCCAACCAATCAGCAACCAACCCATACCTACTGATATAATCCTGTAACTTTTGTCTTTAAAACATAACAATAGACAGGGAACTTCACTCCCTCTGGAGGCTGCTGCATCAGCTTGCTAAATGGGGTCCCTGTCATGATTGGATGAACAATTAAAACCTTGCTTTTGCATTTTGGTGGGTCTGTCTTCCTGGTGGTCCCTGGGGATCTTTGCAACTTGGGCACAACAATCAACACATCCAACACATAGGAGTTAGTGTTTACCTTGTGCCAGGGAATGAGCCAAGTATTTTAAAATATATCATCCTATTCAAATAGTACCCTCATAATGTGACCTTTGATAGCCATGGGATTTGGTTTTTGTTTTGTTTCTGTTTGTTTGTTTGTTTTTCAAAACAGGGTTTCTCTGTGTATCTTTGTAGACCAGGATGACCTAAAACTCAGCCTCCCAAGTGCTGGGATTAAAGGTGTGCGCCACCATCGCCCAGCGATATCCATGAGATTTGAACTGAAGGTTTTATAGATATGAAATATTTCCTTCAAAAGGTTCATTTGTACTGACTGGGTGGTGATGGTGCATGCCTCCACTCTGGAGGCAGAGTCAGGTGTATTTCTGAGTTCAAGGCCAGCCTAATCTACAGAGCAAGTTCCAGGACAGACAGGCAGACAGGGCTACACAGAGAAATCCTATCTTGAAAAAACAGGAAGCCAGCCATTGGTGGCACACACCTTTAATCCCAGCACTTGGGAGGCAGACGCAGGTGGATCTCTGTGAGTTTGAGACCAGCCTGGTCTACAAGCGCTAGTTCCAGGACAGCCTCCAAAGCCACAGAGAAACCCTGTCTCGGAAAAAAAAAAAAAGGGAAAAAAGTTCATTTGTTGAAGACTTGATCCTAAGTGCAGTAATCAGAGATGGGGTTTGGGGAGCGATTTGGATGATAAAGGCACTGAACTACTTACTCAACATATTAATCCATTGCTGGATTCATAATTTGATGGTATTCCTGAGAGGCAGTGAGGTCTAAGAGGTAGGTCCTTACTAGAAGTCACTGGAGAAGTCATTTTGAAAGGCGTATCTTCTCTTCAGGCCATTCCCTCATCCCTCTCCCCTCCCCCAGCTCTGATCTGCGTCTTCCCTTCCCGCTCCCACAGCTGAGGTGTTCCGCCTCATCACCTTAGGCCCGTAGCAATGGGGCCATCCACATATTAGCGGAAACTCCTAAAACCCGATTACACAGTATCTCTCTTCTTTAAATGGCTTTTCTCAGGCATTCATTACAGCAAAGGAAAGCCGAATACAAAATGATTCAATCCATCATGATTCCTCCAATTATTATTATTTTTTATTTATTTTTTTGTTTTGTTTTTTGAGACAGAGTTTTCTGTATTTTTTTTTTTTTGGAGGCTGTCCTGGAACTCCCTCTGTAGACCAGGCTGGCCTCGAACTCACAGAGATCCGCCTGCTTCTGCCTCCCAAGTGCTGGGGTTAAAGACATGCACTACCAACGCCCAGCTTAAATGTATTTTTAAATGACATCTGTACTGAATATGTACAGGTATCCCCTCCACCCATCACCATTCCTTAAACAAGGTGGTATAACAATATTCACATTGCATTAGGCATTAAAAGTAATTTAAAATATGCAGCAAGGTGTTCGTAAATTTTCTGAAACTAAAATAACTTTTATAAGTGGGACTTGAAGTCGGGCAGTGGTGGCACACACCTGTAATCCCAGCACTGGAGAGGCCAAGGCAGGTGGATTTCCATGAGTTCGAGACCAGGATGGGTTCCAAAACTACACAAAGAAACCCTGTCTCGAAGACCAAAACAACAACAAAAAAGAGGCAGCTATAATTTTAAGACAAATAAGTTGTTACTAAAGAGAAATTTTGGACTTTGCACCAAAACAAAAGGAAAGTTGCCTTGACCTCACTCATCAACTATTCCAGCTCATAAAATCCCTTTGAAGAGAGTGAAACTGAAGGGATGTCCCATTAACAAACAATCATGTAGAGAAGCGTTTGCCCAGATTCATCCATACAGGTGCACAGATGCCACTACAGCTGTGGTTAAAAAAAAAAAAGGATCAGAAAATGTCTCGGGTTAGCAGAGGAACTTGGTGGAATCCTCTATATGGTACTGATTTTATAGGCATGTTGAACTTTGCACTAAGGTCCCAAAAAGCCATGGAGGCCAGCCAATATGTGGTGGGGCTAAATTGCCCTCAAAGATTGGCGTGAAGATATGAAAGTCTAAGTTTCAGTGGCTGCCTTAGTGTGTTGGAGGTGCCTGAACCATCAGACGTCTACCAAGAAAAGCTAATGGCACTGAGCAGATCTACACTGAGAGGTAGCAGAATTGAAGGGATGGAGTCACTCAAGTCCGTTGGAGCCCAGATGACACAGCAGAGAGCCTCACATGCTGTATATGGAGCTGCAAGATTTGGTGTTTGCCCAGTTGGGTTTTTATAATGCTTTAGTCTATGCCACACTCCCGTTCTTTCCTTTGGAATTGGAAATGTTTGCTATATGTCACTGTTTATGGATGTGTGCAACTGTTTTTTAATTCTTTAAGGACTCAGTTAAGAGATCATCTTGGACCTCAGAAGAAACTTTGACTTTTGGAACAATGTTGAAATTGTTAAGACTTTGGGGCTCTTAAAGATAAACTAAGTACACTTTTTTATGAAATTACTGTGATCTTTGAGGACCAGGGCTGAAATGTATTTAGATGTTAAGTTGACAAAGGATGGACTGTCACTGGATGATTATTCTTCACTGTTAACTTGACTAGATTTGGAATCAGCCAAAAACACAGCTCTGGGCATTCTTTACACTTGATCTTGGCCAAAGGGCTAAGAATTTACCTGGATGCCTTTGAGGACATTTCCAGAGAGGGTTAGCTGAAGAGGGAAGACCTAGCCTAAATGTAGGTGATTTCATAAAAAGGAAAACAGAGGAAACCAGCTAAGTGCTAACACCCCCACTGTCTATTTCCTTATCCATTGAAATGTAAGGCGTTCCAGTCATGGAGTCTTGCCATGGTGATCTCTCCCATGCCTTCTCCATCATTAGAGACTCTAACTTCTTGTATCATGAGTCAAGGTAAATTGTTCCTATAAGTTGTTATTTGTTAGGTATATGGTCACAGAAATAAGAAAACTAACCAACACACTAACTTGGTATTTGTGGAGACTTCAGAACCCACCTTCCAAGAATAACGAGAAGCTATGTTTCATCCCCAGCCAAGAACTAAGATTGTGATAGGCTCTGTAATAGACACCAGCCATGAGTTGATGCACATTCGATGGGCAACGTATGCACCAGACTCCCTTCTTAACACAAGTGATCGAATGATATAGACAGAGACTGAAGTTTTAGTATGGAGACTAAGGATTAGGCTTGAAGGTGTGAGAGGAGTTTCTGATCAAAACAATAAATATGAGGGCTGGAAAAATGGCTCAGCCATTAAAGGCTAGGCTCACAACCATATAGATATATAGATATAGATATAGATATAGATACAGATACAGATAGATATATATGCTCCTCTCCCTATAAAAACACGGCAGTGACCAAGTAGATTTTCTTCTCCAAAAAAGTAAACAAAATCAAAAGTCACATTATGTTCTCCTGCTGCAACCCAGCACCAGAGTCCATGAGAAGAAGCTGGATGATAGGGCTTCACGGTTACAAGCCTGCAACCTTGGAGCCTCGGAGGGGGGCAGGTGTTTAAATGTTGGTTTTTGTAGAAATCAGAACAGTGAAGTTGGTCGTGTAGAGCACAGGTTATGGAGCAATGGATTGTGGAGCAATGGATTCCAGGGCTTACCCAATGTGGATCTGTAGTAATTCAGCCAGTGAAGGAGGATGTGCTTAATCTTCTTCTGTATTCTGCTTAGTTTGATGGATGTCACAAGGTCGTGCATAAGGCTGATGTCCGTTCCTGGATCATCAGGGTCTGTGTCCACTGGGTCTGCTAAACTTGAAGCCTTTAAATGAGAAGATGAATTGATACATCGATATCCGTGGCTATCGAACGTCAATCCTTCATCCTCATGCACCATTTACTCATTAATCAGACTATTCAACAAGTGTTTATTAAGTGCCATTTATAACCGGGCAATGTGCCACACACAATAGCCATATTCTTTTGTGACTATACTTAATGCCACTGAAATACATACTTACAAAGGTTATGTTATCATAATAAGTTAGGAGAGGAAAGGCCATTTCCTCTCCTATCCTCCAGGAGCTCGTAATCAGTGGGAAACCTCGACAGGCCAGCAGTCACAACCCAGCAGATGCCATGTTACAACACGAGTTCTAAGTAGAAAGGTTGAAATGCACTAACTCCTACTTAGCAGCAGCAAAAGTTGTAAATATTCACTAACTGTATGCAACTATACATCTACATGTAAGATACGCAGAACTAGACATTTATTTTCTCATTTTTGTTCACTATGCAAAGCCAGATGAGGATGGGCACAAAGTAGAAGGAACAGAAAGGAGAGAAGGGCCAGTGAGCCATGGAGAGACTGGCGAAGCAGACAAAAGAGCAGTGCGAAGAATTTATTCTTTTTTGGAAATCTGGCAAGAAAATTGACACTTCAGTTTGAAGAATCAAACTGAAAGACATAGAAAGGCATAGACTTGAACTTCCTTGTTATAATGATTCTAAAAAGAACGTAAAGAAACTTCAGTGGTAGCTCAGTTTTAATCCTAGCATGTGGGAGGCAGAGGCAGGCGGATCTCTGTGGGTTCAAGGCCAGCCTGGCCTACAAGAGCTAGTTCCAGGACAGGCTCCAAAGCCACAGAGAAACCCTGTCTCAAAAAACCAGAGAGAGAGAGAGAGAGCTTAGATGTCCCCCTAGAGTTTTTGACTTGGAATAATTAAATTTAAATGTTTTGCATAAAGTGACTAAGTTCAAATGTAATTGGAATATGTAAGAGAATTTAAGAATCCCTTAATTATTTGTGTCTGTAAATGTTAAGAACTGAGAATATTTTGCTTGTTAGGGTTATAAATATACATTTGAAGTACTTAAACGAGAATAAAATCCTTTAAAATTATATACTTCAAAATATGTAAAATTTTGTTCATTAAATTGTATAACAGTCTAATTATCAATTTGAGTCAATCAATGAGAACATAAAAACAATGGCTATCTTAATTGAGATTATTAGTGGAATAAGTATATTTTAAATGGCCTTAATTTTTCTCTGAGATAGGGTTTCTGTGTAGCTTTGGCTGTCCTTTGACAGAATCGAACTCATAGAGATCCACCTGCCTCCATCTCCCAAGCACTGGGTTTAGAGGTGTGTACCACCACTGCCTGACAGCCTGAATATTTTTAACACATATTTAAAAACTGTTTTGAGATTGAATCTCTGCTAGAGGCTGGTCTCTCACAATGTTTCTGTTTCAACCTCTCATGTGCTAGAATTAGAGCCGTACACCACAACCCCTGGCAAAAACTGGGTTATTAATGGTAGCTCGAAAAAAAATTAAATCCTCAACCAAATGTTTGTGGTTTTTTTAGATACAAAAATCTCTTAGATATGGGGGGGGGGACCCTCATACCTGCAGCTTCAAACTTTTTCTCGCGTCTCCTCACTCCTCTTTACTGCATTGGTTGATATGACATCAGTGAATTAATTCACAAGTCTCCCTCCCTCCCCGTCTTTGAGAAGACTTTTAACATTTTTTGAGATTGTAATTACATTTCTCCCTTCCCTTCCCTCCCTCCAAATCCTCCATAGCATATGTTGATGGAATTCTCTCAAACTTGCTAAAACACACAATTTTCTAGCAAAGACACTGAATGCAGTTGACAATATGTGATAGTTCACAAACCTGAGCACCATCTGTGGGAAATAAACTTTGGGAAAGGCAGAGGCAAAAAGAGAAAGTGTAGTTTCATTCTTTTTCAAAGGAGTAGTAGACACAAATTTAAAAGCCCAGAAAAGTAATAAATAAAATCCCCAAACATGTGTCTGCTCACAGGTACACAGACTGTAGGAATTGTTTCCGTGAGTCCATATAGTTAACACATTAAACAGGATAAGCATGGTTTAAAAAGGATGATGCCTGGGAATTTAATTCCCTGTTATATCACTCGCCTAGTATGTGCAGGCTCTGGGTTGCCAGCACTGCAAAACTAAGTAAGAATGAATGAAAGAACAAAATACCCCAAGAGGAAAATCTGCCGTTCCCCTACCTGTACCACTGCAAAGAGAAATTACTGGCGGACTGGTGACATATCCCAGCCTCTCGTTGGTGTCACCATATATCCAGAAAAATGCCATCCTTCACTTTGGTGCTGACATATGTAGCTAGCATGTGAGCCTCCTCTCCTTGCTGGACTCGTCACTGAATCTGTGCTCTTACTAGAATGTTTTTTAGGCATGACAGCTTTTCTGAGTTGTATCTTATATTCAATACACAACCTCCTTTAAGGTGACCATTTGATGGATTTTGATCCTGTGTAAGTACTACCCCCGTTAATCCACATGTAGGGTATTTCAATAGACCTTGTCAAGTTTTCTTCTTCCTCTTTATGAGCATCCCTACTCTGCCCTGAGATCTTGTCTAGAGTCACATACGATTGGAGTCACACCTTGTGCACTCTTTCATGTCCGACTTTTCTTGCTTACCTGAACATTTAGAATATTCATCTTAGCGGCTATCTCTGTGCATCCTGACCTATCCTCACACTTTCTATCCTCCTGCTTTAGCCTCTCAAGTGCTGGGATTACATGAGTAAGCCGCCATGCCTGGATGAATTCATTTGTTTTAGTGCCTCGGAAGCTCTGTTTTGTTTGTTTGTTTTTGAAGACAAGATTTCTCTATATAACAGTCCTGGCTGTCCTGGAACTTGCTCTGTAAACCAGGTTGGCCTCAAACTCACAGAGATCCACCTGCCTCTGCCTCCTGAGTGCTGGGATCAAAGGCGTGTGCCACCACCGCCCAGCCCTGTGATGATGCCTTTTTATCTAGTCATCCACTAATGGACACTTGGGTTGTTGCCAGCATGGAAATTATGAATAAAATCATTTAAAAACCTTCATATTTAAGTCTGTAAAAACACACATCTCATCTTAAATAAATATCATAAATATGCTATGTTAGAAACAAAGACATTTGTGTCTTTCCACAAAATCAGAATTTATTAAAGAATAATAAATATGGCATCAATATGCCAAGAAGTCCTGGTTTCCCGCTAAGGCAAATACATATTCTTTTATTCTCATCTTTACTTCTAATATTAATTCTAAGATTACACTAATATATATATGCATACACACATGATATACACACACATATATATGTTACATGTAGGTTACAAAATAGGTAACAAAGGGATATGGAGACTACACTGGGTTCGAGGCATTCCAGACGCCCGAGAGGCAGAGGCAGAGGCAGAGGCAGGGGCGTTGATATGGATGTGGAGGTGTCTCCACAGTAGCAGAAAAGACAGCGAAGCCTACTGCACGTCTGTCAGAGGTACTACCGTGGAAACAGGCTGTGGGCCACCGGCTTCAGCAGAACCTCGGGGCTGAATGACACTGAAGAAGCACTGTATAGAACTGCAAGGTGTACAAAGCAAGGCTGGGGGCAGATGGATGAATGGGCAGAGAGACAGACAACAATCCAAGCAGGATGCATCCACACTGGGGTGAGAACCAAACTGAGGCCGCACGGCAGTCAGGAGCTTGGTGCCTATTGATCCCTTGACACACACATGGATGGCCAGAGGGCAGGCCAGTGAGGACAACGTCTTCCTATGGTTACACATCCTTCTCTTTGTAGGGTCTTGGGATTGAATCTTTCCTCAGTCTAGTGAGTCTGATAATTTCTTGAGCCTGGTTTTCCTGATGCTTTTTTTTTTTTTTTTTTTTTTTTTTTTTGCTTTTCGAGACAGGGTTTCTGTGTAGCTTTGAAGGCTGTCTTGAAACTCGCTCTGTTGACCAGGCTGGCCTCAAACTCACAGAGATCCTCCTGCCTCTGCCTCCCAAAGTTCTGGGATTAAAGGCGTGTGGTACCACTGCCCAGTTCCTGATGCATTTTTTAAAACATGTATTTGTGTATATGGATGTTTTGTCTACATGTTTGTCTGTGTGCTGTGTGCCTTCAGTGGCTGTGGAAGCTAGAAGAGGACATCAGATCCCTTGGGACTGGAGTTACAGGTGGTCGTGAGCTGCTGTGTGGAGTGGGAATTGAACCCAGGTCCTCTGGATGAGCAGCCAGTCATCTCTCCAGCTCTTCCTAATAGGGTTTTAATATGCCCATGTACTCCTAAGATCCCAATTTACTTTGATAAATTTATAGGGTGGCACTTTTTCTATCTTTACAATAGACCACTATAGACTATGCCATGTGACTGGACCAATCACATCGGTGGATTGGTGGTGTCCACCAAAGTGGGAGTCATCCACTATTCTCAAATAGAATCCAGTGATACGTGTGGAATGGAGTCTCTCAGGGCGATCCACAGCCTGAAAACCACTGTTTTACACAATATGGAGCAACTTAGGGCAGGTATCCACAATCAATAAATACCTAGTTGTGGAGTTGTAGTGTATCTTTTATGTCAAGCCATACAAAGTAGGTCACAAGAAATGTTGGACAGGAAAACATTTCCTAAGTGTCAGACATCTGTCTATGAATTATCTCTACAGTTTCAAAAGTAGAAAACCCAATGGCATATTTATTACAGCTGTTTAACTCTGACAAACCAAAATACCATCAGATATTCACCTGAAAGCTCAAGTTATTGTGAAGAAAGGAAACCAGTCAGTCATCTCTGAAAATGTCATGTCTCAAGTTTTGTCTTAGAAATATCATACAAAGGAAAAAACTCTTAAAAACTTAAAAGAACTCATATCTGAAAAAATGAACAGGGAATTGTCACCATTGAGAAGTTAAGTCATTATTCTTACTGGATTAACCTTGAACTTCTTTTTTTAAGGGAAGGAGTGGGAGGGGGCTGCTAATGACCAGAGTTATGTCAGAAGTTACTGGAGACTCGGCTGGTCACTTTGAACCATTTGTGAACACGTCAGATAACTGTTTCAGTCTTGAATAAGAAAACACAGGAAGGCTTTCATGAACTGAGACTGTTCTTACTCAAAGTTGTTGTACCGTGACTAATTTCACACCAGGGAAGAACATAAACAATAGCACTCAGACATTCATAACTGAGCACTGCCTTAGGCTGAGGCTGAGTGGAGGAGCTCTGGCTTGATCTGGGCAAGGCCCTGAGTCTAATCACTGTGCCACAAAGAAAAAAGACAAAACCAAAATACAATACAAACCAAAACAATAACAACAAAACTTCAGTCTTTAACGATTTTCTAAATTTTCCTGTTGATTTGGTTTCTGTACTAATATTACAGACTTCACAAAGATCTCTTTCTTTTTTATTTTAAAAAGTTGATGCTGGGGAAATGGCTCGACAGTGAGACACTTTCTACTCTTGCCGAGGACCTGTGTTTGGTTCCCAGTACCCGCATCTACATAAAGACTCACAAACATCTTCTGTAACTCATTCTGAGGGATTCAATGCCGCCTTCTTGCCTCCACGGGCACCAAGCACACACATTGTGAGTGTGTGTGTGTGTGTAAGCAAAACACTCACATACCTTATAAGTAATATATTCAATATGAGATATTAGATATGTGTCCTCCAGTCTTTTTTTATTTTATAATTTTTTTATTTTATTTTCCAGTTTAAATTTAGATAAGAAACAAGGTTGCTTCACAAGTCAGTTCCAGGTCCCTCTCCCTTTCCTTCCCCTCCTCCCGTGCCCTCCCCCCAAACCCCCCCCCCCCGTTATCCCCTCATTCCCCCAGGGAGGGTGAGGCCCTCCATGGGGGTGTGCATAGTCTGTCATTTCATATAGGGCAGGGCCTAGACCCTTCCCCAAGAGTTCAGGGTGAGAGTGCACCTCACATTGTTCTATGGGAGTCCAAAGTCCGTGTGTATACTTGGGATGGGTACTGATCTGATATTCTTGGATATGAACATGCTGCATTATCATGTACTTCAAGTCCCCCACAGTTAAAATTCTTTTTTTTTTTTTTTTGGTTCTTACGAGACAGGGTTTCTCTGTATTGTTTTGGAGGCTGTCTGTCCAGCCTGGCCTCGAACTAACAGAGATCCGCCTGCCTCTGCCTCCCGAGTGCTGAGATTAAAGGCGAGCACCACCACCGCCCGGCCACAGTTAAAATTCTATGAGCATGAAAGGTTTTAGACTCCAAAGGCCCTACCTATGAGAAAGAAGCTACTATCAGCATGCTTCATTTCATTCATAAATAAAATGAACACCATTCCTAGTCATGATCTCTGTTAACCAGAAGTACAGAACTTATCCATCCAAGCTTCTTTGGCAGCTCGACTTGAACATTACCCAGCTGTAGGTGGGAGGAGCTACAGAAGTCTGGGCCAATCAGAAAGCATGAACGAATTGTCCCCCATGTAAGACAGAGACCACCAAGTGCTAGATGGCTTTTTTTTTCCTAGTAACTTTTTTTTTCTTGGTTTTTACGAGACAGGGTTTCTCTGTATTGTTTTGGAGGCAATCGGTCCAGTCCGGCCTCGAACTCACAGAGATCAGCCTGCCTCTGTCTCCCGAGTGCTGAGATTAAAGGCGTGCGCCACCACTGCCCGGCCCTAGTAACTTTTTTTTATCAGTTTATTTTTACATTCCAATCCCAGTTCCCCCTCCCTCTCTCCTCTCTCTCCCCAGACACCTCCCCTCCACCTCCCATATGCTCCTTGGAGAGGGTGAGGCCTCCCCTAAGAAGTTTACTAAGTCTGTCCCATCATCTCACTGAGGCAGGACCAACCAAGGCACCTCTCCACCTCCACCCCTACCCCTGTGTCTGGGCTGAGCAAGGTGTCTCTCCATATAGAATGAATGGGCTCCACTAAGTCAGTTTGTGCGTTAGTGTTAGGTCTTGCTCCCACTGCCAGTGGCCTCATATATTGTCCCAGCCGCACCATTGTTACCTATATCAAGGAAGTCTAGTTCAGTCTTACTCAGGTTCCCCATTTGTCAGACCTGAGTCAGTGATCTCTTACTAGCTCCGGTCAGCTGATTCTGTTGGTTTCCCTGTTGGGGAAGTCCTGTTATTTGCCTGTGCATTTGTCAATAAAGTACTGTCTGGCCAATAGAAAACCTAGATAGGAGGGACTAGGAGTCAAGGAGGATTCTGGGAAGGGGAAACACAAGAGAGTCAACATGTGACGCCATGGGGGTAGGACGCTGGGGAATATTCTCCGGTAAGAAACATACTTAGATTAACAATTATGGGGTAATTACTTAAGGCAGAGCTAGCCAGTAAGAGACAAACAAGGCCAACCGCTTCATAATTAATATAGCCTCCTGTGTGTTTATTTGGGACTCATGCGGATCTAGAACCAGCCTGGCGCGGCAGAGCCCAGGCGACTGGCGGGGGATAAACCAAAGCGGCTAGCAAAAGAAAAAGCTTCTCTTAACATTTCCCCATCATGGTCTTGACTCCTTTGTTCATATTATTACTCCTCCCTCACTTCGATTGTACTTGACCCAGAGTTTAGTTGTGGATTTCTGCATCTGCTTTCTTGATGACTTTCTTAAACAACCCCAGACTACATTGGAACCGAAAGTAACTAGAATACTGTGAACAATACAAGGCCCAGCCTGCGGGATGAAAACAGCGAATACTTGGCACTCACGTCTTTGCTCTGGGTCATGAAGTCCAGCAGCCTGCATTTTCTTTTGTAGGTCGCCAGCATTTCCTTAGCATCTCGGGAAGAGGGGTTGATGTCAGGGAACAACTGGGAGAGAGTGGAGCTTTTTTCAGAGGTCATGGCTAATGAAACCCAGGGAAGCAAGATATCTTGGCATAAGGGCATTAATAGTTGTGAAGAAATTCATACAAATCTAGTATATTCAAATGTCTGTAGCGATTCTACAAAATAAAAATTATCCTGAGCCAGGTGGTGATAGCCCACACCATTAGTCCCAGTACTTGGAAGGCAGAGGCAGGTGGATCTCTGTGAGTTCAAGACCAGCCTGGTCCATAAGAGCTAGTTCCAGGACAGGCTCCAAAGCTCCACAGGGAGACCCTGTCTCTAAAAACAACAAAAAAATTATCCTGCATAAATGATAAATGTTCCTCTGCCTTCTTCAATGTCTGTACTGTTCACATAAATACCTCCAGGTTTCTCAAGTTTCTGAAGTTTGATCAAAATCCAGTCAAGCTCACTACTTAGCTACATGAAAACAGAAAGGAATTTATTTTCTCTTTCAGGCAAGGGTTCTTTAGTGTATCTGAGGTTAATGTGTTGCTCACTCTGTAGACCAGTCTGGCCTGAAACCCATAATCTTCCTGCCTCAGCCTCCCGAGTGCTGAACTTACAGGCAGGCCTCACTATACCTGGCTAAATGTCTACAGCAGTGGTTCTCACCCTTCCTAATGCTGACACCCTCTAACACAGTTCCTCACGCTGTGGTGACTCCCAACCATAACATTATTTTGTTGCTACTTCACAACTGTTATTTTGCTGCTGTTATGAATCCTAATGTAAATATCTGATATGTAACCCACAGGTTGAGGACCACTTGTCTAAGATGACTAGGAAACCTCTGGCCCACCTTATCGGGTAAATGGGGAGGCTTGTATTTGACAGGTGCCAGTGACAGCTTCAGGCTTTGGGGATGCCATTTGTAGATCAAGGAGATGGCAAAGCGCCCGGAAATAGTCACAGTGATGTATTTATTTACCTGGAAGCAACAGAGAGGAGGATCATTTGGGGGTGTAGACTCTACTTTTACAAATCAAGTGAAAGTCACGCATTTGCATGATGCTATAGAAGGAAATGAGGAGCAGGCAGTTTCCACCTAAATGCCAGAAACCTAAACGATGGATTTAGGGAGTTTGTGTTGCTCACTTACAGAAAGAGGGTGAATGGGCAGAAATTATCTTTCAAGTCATGAAGTCATATCTTGAAAAATAAGGCTGGACCCATTTTAGATTGAGACAATCCTAGGTCACTTGGGTCCTTTGAGGCCTCATTCTGCCTTGAGACACAGCAGCCTCTCCCTGCATGATATACTTGATACGATTTCCTTTAGCCCCAAGAAATGCCATGAGTAACAGCCAAGTACTTACACATTTTTTGAAGCCTTAATGTCACTTTTAAGTTGGAGAGGATTTTATTAATGATAATAATGGAAAAGTAGCCATTACAGGATGACTGTACGGTTAAGAATTGAAATTCAGCAGGGCGGTGGTGGTGCACGTCTTTAATCCCAGCACTCGGGAGGCAGAGGCGGGCGGATCTCTGTGAGTTCGAGGCAGGGCTGGACTCCTCCAAAACAATACAGAGAAACCCTGTCTCGTAAAAACAAAAAAACAAAAACAACAAAAAAAAAAGAATTGAAGTTCAGTACAGTGTGCTGGCCAGCACGTGCAAGGGCTGGGAGTTACATCCCCAGAAACACACACACACACAGCCCTACTCATACAAGTGCCCTCTTACACATATGAACACATACAAACACACACATTTGAAATAGAATAATGGATTCTAAAATAATACCCCAATTTCAATTGGATCTTCAATTTTTCCCTTTGAAGGCCACATCCATTCCCTTATGATGTTTCCTTTTTTGTTGATCAATATGCCTCCGTCCTGATTAAACATCATTGCTATGACTTTCCTATGGCAAACACAGGAATGGGACCAATTTAGAACAGGGAAATAATCATGGACTTATTGATTTGGCTTATGTACCCTTAAAGAACAAAAGGATCCTCTTATCCTATTGGTGGAGGATGGCCACCCTCCTTCTGCCCCAGTGCTTCTTGGGAGCTAAGAGTACTCAGTTGATTCAGATGACCCATTTAGGATGTGCATGCTTTTCCTGCCATCGCCCCCACCTATAGGGAACACATATGAGCCCTGTTGGCTTCTATCGTATCGTGTGTGACCCTGATTCTTTGACTATGCTTATTGAATCAGGCATAGACATCTGACCCAGGAGTGTGCTCCATCAGAAGGGATGCTACAAGAGGCCACAAAGAAACACGGAGACAGAATGCATTTCAAGGGGGAAGGAAAACAAAAATCTAGTGTGATGAGCATGGATTCTGGAGTGATTAGCAGTCTTGGGCCAGATATGCTGGAATCCTAAACTAAGTCGTGAATTCTATCTTCAAGAACTATGAGACATAGAAGTATCTGAACAACAAATCAAGGAAGTGATTAAATGGGTGGATAAGGGACAAAGTCTATACTGGGAGACTGTTAAATGATTCAGGAGAGAAAATGATAGCTTGGACTAGGATATAGATGAGAGATATATAGATGTGGGCATGGACTCAAGAACTATCTAGAGCAGTGGTTCTCAACCTTCCTAATGCTTCATCCCTATAGTAGAGTTCCTCATGTTGTGTGACCCCCCATAAATTATTTTTGTTGCTACTTCTTAACTGTAATTTTACTACTGTTGTGAACCATAATGTAAATATCTGACCCCTGTGAAAGGGTCATTCAACCTCCAAAGAGGCCGTGACTGCTAATCTAGGGGCTGCTGAGAAGGCTCAGCAAACGAAAATGTGTGCTTTGTAAACCTAATTCACTGAGTTAGACTCCCCAGAACCTGCATAAAAGTGGAAGGAGAAAACCAACCCCACAGTTGTCCTCTGACCTCCACATGTGTACCACAGCACATGTGTGTCCCTGTCATCCACACACAAAATAATAAATAAAAATTTAAAATACAACAATAATACATACATACATAAAATATCAGTATACATCAACGCCCCATCATAATGGGTTTTCTCACTGAGAAGTGGTCAACAGTAAATGCTGAGCCGACAGCAACCTCTAGAGCAAGCATTTGCAATATGAAGGAACAGTAAAGAATTCACAGGGGGGAGCTGGAGAGGTGGTCTCAGGCATTCCATTATGGGACAGAAAGTACATGAAAACAGCAATGTAAATAGACTTCAGTGTCTGAACTTGGAAACAGTTGCAGCTGACAGATGTGATACCTGAAACAATAGAAGATGACCAGTCCAGATTGGATCAACATAGCATACAGAGTTAGGAGTGAGGATGTAAAAATATCTGGGCCAGAATCAAGAGGGGGAAAAATAGCCAGTCCTTACAAGTTTTCATCAATATCCTTGGATGGCAAACTAATACAGACTGCTTATCCATCTTGTATGTGTTTGTACATCTCAAGATAATGGTAAATGATTGATCAAAATAAAACCGAAGATGAAAAGACCCAGAGGAGACAGACACTTTTTTGGTAGCTGATTGGGAATGAAATAAAAGGTAAGATTGTACAATGTCTCAAGAGAATATGTGTCTCTTTCTCCACAGCTGGAATCTAGATGTGGCCACATAACTTGACCTATGTGATCAGCAGCTTGAGAAGTATTCAGTTGGGGGCTCTTCTTCTTCTTCTTCTTTTCTTCTTCTTCTTCTTCTTCTTCTTCTTCTTCTTCTTCTTCTTCTTCTTCTTCTTCTTCTTCTCCTCCTCCTCCTCCTCCTCCTCTTCCTCTCCTCTTCCTTCTTCCATCTCCTCCTCCTCCTCCTTCTCCTTCTTCTTTCTTGCTGCTTTACGACCTGGTTAACACATGCGGAGCAGCCCGCGCCAGCCTACAAGATGCTCGGCCAAGTTGCCTCCAAGCCAGCTCTGGCAAAAAGCCAGATAGGTACGTCATCTAGCCTCTCTGTCCAGGCTCATAATCTCAGTATCGCCGTTACCATGACTCATGGTTACTCATCCAACAAGGACTCAGCTCTCGCCTTTCCTTTTCTCAACCTACTAAGGGTGGGGAGGGGGAGGGGGAAGCACTGTATTAAAGGCTAAGAACTTTCAATGCTTTCCTGTAACCACGTAGACTTGGAAAAGTTTACCCATCTTGCATGAGCCTCAGTTCTCTTTGATGAGAATTATGCTAAAATCACAGGGTCTCTGAGAAAATTAAGTAAAATCTAGAGTGCTCATTCTAACTTAAACCCCCCCCCACACACACAGCAATCCTTGGAAATTCTGGCCTAGTGGCACAAACCGGTAATTCTAGCACTTAACAAGTTGACACTGACGCATGAAGATCAGAAAGTTAGAAGACAACTTGTTAAAAGACAACTTGGCCCTATACAGTGAGTTTGAGATCAGCCACTGTTACATAGCGAGACCCTTCCTAAAAAACAAAACAAAACAAACAAACAACAAAAAAAAAAACCCACTAACTCTCAAAAAATCGGTGAAGTGCATCCACTCTTGGAGAAGCAACTACTACTTCTCTGTTCTGTTTACAGTGTTCTGGAACAAGATGCTCAATTAAAATGCCAGAAAATTGCACAATGCCGCCTAATCTTTCCTTCCTAACTTTTAAACTAGCGTTGTCGAGAGGCCAAACGACCTTTTGAAAGGGCTTCTTTGAAACGATTCCAGGTCCTGTCATCTTCATTTCATCTCAACATCAAAGTTGGGACAGACTCTTCCACACCGAGGACGGGCGTTCAGTGTGATGCGCGCAGCCACTTTGCGAGCCTGTTAATTTGTCTCCTACGTATTCGTGTCTTCAAAATCAAGCATTAGTCTTTTATGTCTTAGGTTTTTTGCTGACCTCTCTGGTCTTCGCTGGAGAGCTACTGTTCGTCAGCTGACTTGGCTCGGGAAATAACCAGGAAGAGAAGCTACATGAAGGGGCTTCACCGGAAGTGCAGTCAGCGATCAGGAAGGGCCGAATGCAGCCGAAGCACAAGAATGCACAGTTACAAACTGGCTGGGGGGAAAGTCTCTTGCTCCTTGCATGGCTTGATTCAAGTTCCCATCATGCTTCTTAATCATTCCTTCCTACCTTTTTAAAAAAATTTATTTATTATGTATACATTGTTCTGTCTGCATGTCTGCCCGTTGGTCAGAAGAGGGCATCAGATCTCATTACAGATGGTTGTGAGCCACCATATGGTTGCTGGGAATTGAACTCAGGACCTTTGGAAGAGCAGCCAGTGCTCTTAATCTCTGAGCCATCTCTCCAGCCCCCTTCCAAACTTTTTGCAAAACTACCATCATCTGGAAGCCAGGAGAATTAAAAAATAAAGGGGATGGGAAGATGTGTGGTCAGAACTTATATGAAATGTGAGCTCCAGCGAATGTGGAAGTTAGAGCAATCCACAGGGTGTGGCCTTATGGGTCAATTATGATAATGGCTTCTTCTTGAAACTCTTAAGAACCAGAAAACATTCTCCTAAATCCACACCCAAACTTGATGTGTTGAGATAGATGGATAGTTGGTTGGATGTTAGATAGATAGATAAATAGATAGATAGATAGATAGATAGATAGATAGATGCAACGCTTTGTTATTTGTTTTGCATTTAAGGTGCTTTAACTGTGTCATCAGCTGAACTCAATTGTGTGGAAAATCAGCAGGCAGAAGAACCCAGAAAAATAATACTCCACAGAGCAACAGCAGTTATAAGGAGTTGAGGACTAGCTTCCTCCAACTCAAGCCCCCTGAGCCTCCAAATGTGACCACATTTGTAAACTTAATTAGTTAAGAACCTCAAGATGAGCCAGTGTTGGTGGCACACACCTTTAATCCCAGCCCTCAGGAGGTAGAGGCAGGCGGATCTCTGTGAGTTCAAGGCCAGCCTGGTCTAAAGAGCGAGTTCCAGGACGACCTCCAAAACAATACAGAGAAACCCTATCTCGGAAAACAAAAACAAAACAAGAGGGGAAAAAAAACCTTATGAATGTGCCTTTACATGGAAAGGGGACTTTGCCGGTGTCGTTGTAGCTGAAGACGTCAAGGAGGGAGATTCTGTAGGTGGGTCAGTGCCGTCACAAGAATAATTAAACACATGATTTAGAAGATTCAGAATTAGAAAAGGAGACATGATGAGGGAAGTGGAGATTGAGATGTGAAGACCTTATCCTGATGGCTTTGAAAGTAAAGGAAGGGACCAGGAGCCCAGGAATGCAGGCTGCACACAGAAACTGGGAAAGGCAAGAGTACAGATTTTCCCTATGATTTGCTAAAGAAATGTGACTCTCTGCCTTGATTTTACTCTATTGAGACCTGTTTGGGATCTCTGATGTCTACAACTGCAGGATTAATCTGTGTTGTCACTGCATTTATGGTAATCTGTCATAGCAGTCATGAGGAAATAATACACTGTCCTCTCCTCCTGGGCTGCTGGCATGTCCCCTGTGGGAAGGGACTGCTCACTGCTTCCCAGACTTCATTTGCAGGAAGAACTGAGGAGTGACTCCCAAGAACAAGAAAGGGATGGGTCTCTTGCTTGGCCCATCTAATGCACTGGACCATCTCCAGCTTGGCAGACACCTTTATGCCTTGGCACCGTTCCTAGAACTGTAAAAAATTTTAAACACCAGTTCTCATGCTCCCTGTGAGAATTTCTCTCCATCCTGTACCAACCTGTACATTACCGGTGCACACAACACATTCTCAACCTTGGTGTTTCCACTACGACTGGAGATTCTCAAATCTCCCGTTCCACATACTATCTGCCATTCAGAATCAATGCTGCATAGACTCTTGAGCATTAATTACCCACCTATATCTATCTATCTATCTATCTATCTATCTATCTATCTATCTATCTATCTATCTGTCTATCCATCCATCCATCCATCCGTCCGTCTATCTAGTCTATCTCTCACTTTTC